GAAGTCTAAAGCACCACAATGAATGTTTAGACAATTAACCACCCATGCGATTATGAGTGTAGGACTGTGGATGGAGTTTTTGTCCCTATAGTGTCAGCTGTGGCTCCCAGAACCATATGGAGGCTCCACAGCCCTCTGCAGACTGAATCTAGCACTGTCTGTGTGTCAAAAGCAGTGTTCCTGTCATGGTTTTGCCTCTGCCAGAGACTGATGATGTTCATGTGGCCTCCCTGGAGCCCACAAGCCATCTGCAAAGACATTCCTGGGATGGCCAAAACCCAAGTTTCTTGGGCTGTTGGGACCTCATACATAGCACAACTGATCTTATGCTCTACTAAGCTGCTCACAAGCATGTAATTATGACAGTCCTTATCCCAGTGGCTGTGCTGTGATGTCAGAAACATGGAACAATTCTTCAATTAAAAAAAAAAAAATTCTGATAATTATTCACCAAGATGCTGAAGATGCCCAATACACAGCAGAAGTATTGTAAGGAGAAAGTGATAGTACTTCACCAGAGTGAATAATCTTCTTGGTGGTAACTTCCATGTCAATGTGAAGTCAAAAGAAAAAAAAATAGAGCAAGAAAAAAAAAATTCTGTATCCTCAGACGTTTTTGAAACCACCATCCCACTTCCAGACTCGCGTCTCTTGTGTGAAAGATGTGGTAGTGTCTCAAGACATATTAAGAGTATATTAATTATCTTGTGCTATTCTGCTTTAAGGAAAAAAGACAAATTATGCCTTGTGAAGAAGCCATTTGCTATAAAGTGTAAAAATGCTTTAATATTAATATTTTATAATAAAATTCATGACATATTTATAAACACTCTATCAAGCATTTACAACTGAACCACAGCCGAGAGCTTGGACTGGAATAAATAAGCAAGGACACAGCTAGTATGAAATATACATCTTAATTTTTATAATTGTGTGTGCTTTATTCTTTACACAAATGGAATGGATGCGCAGAGTATTTACACATAACAGGAGTGTAAGCTGGACAGGGTATTTTTGTAAACTCCAGTTCAGATTCTGAGTACCCCACACTACAGATGGACTGAGAAACATCCTGCTAAAGAGACGCGCGCCGGCCAGCGTGCCGGATGGAGCAGCCTGCCCAGTACAGGCTGCTGCACTCGGAAATTCGGACTGGCCGAGTCAAATTTAGGAACACAAATTAAAAGGTTGCTATCCCACTAAGAGCCAACAGTGATGATTTTTTTTTAAATTTTATTTTTATTTTTTTTTTCCCCCCCAAAGATCTTGCCTAGGATGCTGGCTACCTCTCATCCCCAGAAATGCTGTTTTACACCAGGGCAAGTTGCCAGCGCTGTAGGTCAGGGCCAGATGGTGGAAGCTGCTAATGTGGTGTGAGGGATGATGGATTGACTCTCAAACTCCTCACCTTAAAGACAGAGTCTCAAAAGGGCCAATGGAGTAATGGTTCCTATTGCTCTTGGTGAGATGTTAGTGGGGCTGAAGCCTTCTGAAAATCCAGCCACAGCACTTGGCCCATGGCTTGTCTTTTTGTTCAGCTATGTCACAGCACCTACCTCAAAAGCATCTTGGTCCATGACTTGGCCCTCTGGGTGCTACAGTAATAAAAGCAGTAAATAATGCTAGAAAGTGCTGAGCTGCTGTTTAATCATGTGGCCTTGGTGTTTTACAGTAATGCTGAAATATCAGTGTAACGGGGAGGACGGATGTGTAACTTCAGGTGGTGTAAATGGGATGGACTCCTCTGAAATTAAAGGCGAGACTGTGATTTACACCAGCTGAGGATCTAGGCTAGCTGTATGCTGAATAGATTTTAGGTGTTATTTGCTATTAGCTTTGATGCTGATTTGTGCCCTAAAAGGGGAGACTATTTTTTTTTATCATAATGATGACCTCATCCTTACTTCTGAACTAATTGACAAGATGTCTGATTTTTAATGGAATAGGAAAACACATTTATTCCACCGAGGCATGGGCTTGAGCACAGGAATGCAGTTGCACAGTGAACCGCATGCATAACGTCAGACAAAATGTTCAAGAGAAAGAATGCTGAGAATAAAAGTTCTGAGGCATAAAAGACCACTTTCTGTGAAGATGGCAGATAGTATGGCTTTAAATCTCTGATTTAAAAAGAAGATTGAGACTTTTTTCATTAACAGTGTTTTTCCTACAAATATCCTCATGTGTTGTCACTCACTGAATCCTCTGGTCAGGGATATAATTTGAAAAAAAAACAACAAAAAAAAAAACAAACAAAACAAAACAAAAAGAGAATTTGATTGAGTGCTGATGAGGAAGTAACAGTGAAGATGTAACACCAACAATTTCTCGATAGAAAACTAATGTAAATAGGTAGGTGGACATCATACAACTAGGACACTGTTGCTGGCTCGTAGTGGTTATTAGCTCAGGTTCAACATTGCTCTCCAGGATGAGGATTTCAAATTTCAGTGCAACGGAGAGATTTCTTATTCTTGACTTTCACAGGGTGGTTCCTAGGACCCTATCCACACCGGAGCATCAAACCATGCTAGCTACAAACACAATTATATCACAGAATATTTATCTAGAAACAGCCTTTACTACCAAAGAAAAGACAAAGCGCTAGCGTGGACAGGGTACCTCTGTAGGAAGGGGAATTAAGCAAGAAAGAGGCTCTTTCACTGGCTGATGGTCGGACCGTAAGACCAGTAAAGTGCCGTTTGACTGAGCCCTGTTAGCAAGCTCTCAATGAGTCAGTGTATGGAAGATGCTTTGTGGTAAGGAGAAATAAATAGGTTGTAATATTGCACATCTGCACAAAGCTAGCAAGATGTCATTTGTGATCATTCATGGGTGGACAAAAAGCTGTGATCATTTTGGTTCTGCTTAGACCCTACGGTGCTACACACTGTGCCAGAACATGAGAAATAGCACCAGGGGTGTGATCTGGCACTTTTCCTAAAGGGTCCAGCATTTGCATTTGTCTCGTGTTTAGACGCTCGCGAGTCTTTTACATGGACAGAAGAGGAATCTGATTACGCTAAGCTGTGTTAGCACCAATGTGGTCTCAGGCGCCAATTGCTGTGGCTTGTAACTATGGACTTGTTTTTTTAATTTTATTTATTTATTTTTTTTGCACCAGATGTAATTTTGCATGAATCTTATGTTTCTCTTCCTCCTCCCACTACCACCCAGTATGATCTGAACAGCTGCAACGCAAAAATGAACTGCAGCTCTGAGGATGCTGAAACATGGAACGCAAAACGTCAACGCACAAAACAAATGGGAATACAAGTCCTAAGGGAAATAAGACCTCTCACTGCTTCTCTTGGTGAATTGTTTTTAAATACATGTTTTATTAAAAAAAAAAAAAAAAAAAAAAAGAAGTGCAATGGCAACTCTAAACTGGAAGCACAAACAACAGACAGGGAAAAATAAATAATGTTACTACAGTAACCAAGGACTGATGGAAAAATTGATTGTACTCAGCCATAGTGTTACTGTTCACCGTAAAGCACAGCACATGACAAAGCAAAACAGTTACTAGTAGGATAGTACCGTAAAAGGCTGCATGCTGAACTAAGAAACGAAGAAGCAGATGTGATTGATTGCTTAAAAACAGAGCTGAAAATTAGAATGAAGTTCCTGCTTTAGGATACTTTTTTTTTTTCTTCAGGTCTGGTGGGCTATTTCACAACCTGGGGCAATAGTACTTTGCCAGCATGGAAAAATCCATGGCTTCCAAAGATCTGGGGTCACTCTGTGGATTTCTGCAGAATTATTCAAAATCTAAGCTTTCGTTCATTTATATTTTGTAAAAAAAAAAATAAATATGTTTCTAGCCCTTCTGGTTACGAAGCTGTTTTGGAGACTTAGCTGAAACCCTTATTTAGAAATCTGCGCTGGCCAGGCAAGAAAAATAGTAAAAGAAGTGTGAACTTCTCAAAGTTACCATAGTAGGGCAATAAGTGAGAGGCCACCTCAAGGCCACCAAATTGCCCGTATTTTTAACCCTGTCACTGCTGGTGGCTATATTGCAAACATCCAGCTAGTCACGCTGTCCGCGGAGGTTGGCTGGATATACCTGTCAGCCTGACAGGGTGTAGAAATGTCAGCTTCAAACAGACAAGGAACTGAAGAGCCTATTTAGCATTTGCCCTTAAAAGTTCCTTAAGCGTTAGGGTTATTGTAGCCACCAGCTAATAAGCACTGGGCTCCTGCAGAGCAGCAGGCAGGAGAGTGTGGGTTTCATAGAAAACTTGGTCCAGCAGCAGCAAAGGCAATTCAGTTTGCTATCATAGTATCTCTTGCAGTTGTCCCCATGTGTGTCAGAGTGAAGAATGGCATCAGTACCCAAAGGAAGGGCAATGTGAAACGTGAAAAAAACCCCACTTCCCTCTCCTCTTCCATGCACTCCAAACTGCAATTCCACAGACTTTCCCCAAATCCTTCACAAATGCCCATTGCCTCAGTTTTCGCTTTTAAGACCCTTGTTGACTGTGAAATGAATGAAGATACAAGTTCATTGGTGACCTGCCTGCCTGCAAAGAGAGGAAAGATCAAATGCTTTTGGTATTTCCCTTAAAGAAACAAAAAGAATCATAAAACATTTGGGAGTGAAGTGTGACTCCCTCCAAGAGAGAAATTATTAACTGCGTTCAAGCACTGACATTTTGCTTCTGAAAAATCGCCCATTTCAATTATAAGATGCATTATCCTTTTGTGTTCAGAAAAGGTCCCACAGGGCAGTCAGTTCAAGAGATCTTTCCACAGGAGTTCATCGTGATTAAATAGAGGCAAGGGAGAGGATTAAATTGAGAGAAAAACAAGATGACAACTCCAATTTAAGGAATTATCTTGCTCATCATTAATAATAGAGAATCTGTAATGAAAAGGGATAATGCAACTTGATGGTCCTCTTTACATTTTACAGTCGCACAAGGGTGTAAATATTTAATCTTTCCATTAATTAATCTTTACAAAATATCTCACAAAAACATTTTTACCTATAGAAATTAGTTTCTATACATCAATATATTTTTATTTTTATAAATTATTCCATCTTTAAGTGCCTTCTATCAATATAAATGATAAAATAGACAATCAAAAATTTTAAAGCTTTTCCCAGTTGTATCCCTCCTTGTCAACATAGATGCTGTGAATCCTCATACATGTGTGTGTCCACATGGGAATGTGTTTGTGTGCACGTGTGTTTGATGTGAAATGCTTCCATCCTCTCCCACCCCCAAACTCCGTTAAAATAAACTACATTGTTATTAGTTCCTGATGCAATAGTGATTCCAAAGGGGACAAAAGAAATGCTTGACTTGGTTTCAGAACTCAAAAGATGTGCATAGTTACCAAAGTCGAGGTGTACCAACTACAAATGTGCAATGACAAGCTTAGAAGAGGACCCACCTCCCAGTCAAGTCAAAGAGCATCCTACCAGTGACTTCAGTAGGAAGTGGACCAAGTACTCAGCTTGATTTTGCAAGGTGCATGTGGCCCTGATCTAGCAAAATGCTTAAGCCTGTGCTTAGCTTTGAGCACATGAATAGTCCTACTGGAATTGATGGGACTGAACAGCATAGGGAAGGATCACAAGTGACTCCAAGTCAACGGGCTACTCGTGTAGGAATTGGGGTCAAGTGCTGAGCGCCTTGCAGGATCAAGCCCTATATGAGGTTCAAGAGCTGGGAACTTCTCTTTAAAGCAATCAACACACTGAGCTCAGCCATTGAAATCAATCAAAATGTCCGCATGGGCACAGGAGGTGGCTAGCTCCCCTTGACAGAGGGTCTCCATGTCAAAAGTTTATACCTACAATGGGTGCTCTGAGCACACAACAGATTTGCTTTATATTGTAGAAGTCTTTTTGTTCCTACCCTTTGACCCATCAGTGTCCTTCATGGCTTCAAACACTTTGTGTTGTACATTCATCAAAATTCACATTGACTGCAAAGAACATAAATGCAACAAAAACAGGAAAGCCTCCAAATAGTATATTATAATTTTCTTCTAAATATTCTCCCGTCGTAATCAGAGGTGCAGTGGCTAATTTATAATTTTTCCTTTGAAGGAATCCAGATGAAAGGCCCAGATTGTTCTTCAATTACAAGTTTGCATTGATTATATATATCTTCTAAGCTATCTCCTTGGACAATAGCTGCAGTAAGAAAACATATCAATACTTCTTTTAATTGGTATATTCTACAGCATCCAGTGTCAGCAGATTTTTGGTGTACTCATAGAGATTGATGAAATGAGAAGGAATACTAGCACATTGTGATGGTGATTATGAAAAGTCATACCCCTGCAGATGGCAACTAAGTTAAAATCAATGGCACCTTCCAGTGACAGAGACCCATCCCACTACTTGTGAGAAGACTGAGCTAGGTTAGAGAACTAGCAGTTCTGTCCTAGGGGAGGGCAACATGGTAGGTTCCCACTGTTGCAAGTCAAGCTTTACATTTCATTTGATTTAGAAGCTCCTGCAGCAGATTGACAGCCTATTCTTTTCCTGACCTGGTTAAAATAAACTCAGTCTTGGCTGCAAAAGTTAACTTGATCAGATACAAATTGACAGAAGATAAAGCAACTGAAACACAAAGCACAGTCTTTAAACTCTTAAATTCTTTGTTCCTCCAGCAGAAATCTGGAACTGCAGTTCAGATTATGTGCACTGTCAGCACGTGGAGGGACAACTGGGAGCTTCTGAGTGTTATCCACAAGTACCAGTCGCCTGGGTAGGCAGCTGCTTAAACCTGCCCAAAGAAAATGCTGGGACCCAGAGCAGGTATTAAATCTTGCTCTCTTCTAGGTCAGGAAGAAGATTTTTTTTCTTTCCCTTCCATGATCCCTAGCTTGAGCTCTTGTCTTGAGCTAGTGAGGAATTCTTTGGTCTGTACAAATGCAGTGATGTAACATCTTTACTGACTTTTTTAAAAGCAGTTTTGGGTCAGGGAATCAAATTCATGCATAGCTATTCCTTCAGGGCATCAAGCTTTTCAGGAGCTGAATGGCTCAACTGTCCTTGAATTTCAGGGAAACAGTAGTCTCAAGCCAGGAGTCTTTACCGTGGGTACACTATATTGATATGCACTTTAGGCCAGAGACAGAGAAACAAAATACTATGTCTTGGGAAAAGAGTTGTTTTTAATAAAAACATACCTGTAAAATATTCTCCAAATTCTTGTTCTAATTTAATTGCTCGATCATAGGTTTTCTTCGCTTGCTCCTCTGTAAGACGTTTATTCATTTCCCTAGAAACACAGAGGAAGTCACCAAAAAGTTTAGATTCTTACCAGAACAGTTTTCTAAAAGATACGTTCAGCTGAATCACAGATGGATTAAGATCGTTACAAGAATCAAGTGGCGAAATTCTTCCATCAATTAATGGGCAGTTTCAGTAATTTAAATTTAATTTCATTCTTACATAGTATAAACCTACATTTACAGACTATTTCCCATTTCTCCACTAAATTTTTATTTTGGGTTCACTGCTCTACATTCCCCTCAAAAATACAAGGCCCAAATCTAGTAACTGCTAACTGAGATGGACTTGTGGCATCAGGAATCCATGGGAGCCAGGAGGTCTCAAGTCCTGAGCACTCAGAGCATTCCTGTCTCCAGAGCTGAAGCTCCTTCAGGAACCTCTCCATTTCCCAGGCCAACAGCTGTCTGTCTCAGCTGAATAAGATTGTCCAAACTGCTGAAATGGAAGCTGGGTTTTGACGGAGACTGGGGCTATGGAAGTGAAATAATGATTAAAGGCAGGATTCAGCACACCGAGACTCATGACTGTGTACAAGAAATCCCAGAGTTGTTGTAAACCCTGTAGGGAAGCCCCAGAAGGACCTAATATGTCTTCCAGGGAGACTGCTTGGTTCAGGTAGGGGCATGAGTTCCAGATGTCATGAGAAATCAAACTGAGTCTTTCTAGCAGGAAGAGTTGAGTTATTTATTTATGTTCCCTGTTCCAGTCCTTTTGGATTAACTAGACAAATTTCCAGTCAAGTGTGTCTTACAGATTCTAAAATATACAGGGTGCCAATAAATGTAAAAACAGACAGTGTCAGTAACATTCTGTTATTGCCAGTGTTTTGTTATTTGACAAAGGATTTCTGTTTTGACAGACGCATTATTTAACAACTTTAAGAAATGAGTTGTCTTGCCCATGCATGCTCAGCTTTTAATACCACTGTATACTTGAAAAGAATCAAGGTCATACTCATTCACCGCTTTACACATGTATGTCTGCTGATACCCAAATTAATTAGCAATAATAAATAGAGTTTGCTTGTTCTAGCATTCTTTCACAGCATGGATTTATTTTTCTTAAAACACGATGGAAATTTTCTGAGGCAGCTAGAAAAGCAAGAGGAGGGAGCATCTTGTGTTCTACATAAATTTAATTAAATGCCTTGCACTCAATCATACATTTTTGTGGTAATGGACTGTATACAGTATGACATGAGTGATGCATGTAGGAAATTATGTGCATGATGGTGCATAAAAAAATGATCTATGAAATGCATAACAGTATGAACTTGCTACAGCTGACTCCTACCTGGCTTCTGAAAAACACCCTCTAACATGTCCAGGATGCAAAAAGATATTTTTAGAAATATCTTAAAGCTGTCTGTCTATATAACTAACCATATAGCTGTGAACACTGCTTAGAAAAATCTCTCTGGAAGTACTAATACAATGCAGAAAGCAGGTTTATAAAATGAAGGATAAGAAAGATTTCTTTAAAAATTTGTGACAGTTATTTGTGGATTATATAAATAGGTTTAATATATGCCAATCTGTGTCACACTGCTAAATTTGTAATACTACTAATTCTGTTTATTGGAAAGATTACTATCTAATTTCGTTCAGGTGGGCTTTCATATCAACTATGCCTACTTGAACATATCTTTAGGTGACTGAACCAAAACTCTGTCTTGACGTGGGACACACCATTGCAAATTCTTACGCAAACTCTTGAGGGCACTCAGCCAATATTCTAGTACTAAAAACATCCTCCTCCTTTTGGATATATTTCTTGTAAATTTCTAAGAAGTATTCCTCAAGATCTTTGAATATCACAGGAGAAAATACAAATAAAAATACAGTCAAGCATTTAAAATAGCAAGTACTTTGAAATAAATAGAAATTTGCATTACATTTTCAGGTTGTAGATTTGCCTGGTGTATAAAACTGTGCTAGCTGTATTCATGCCTCTGTCTATCCTGTGCCTTCAGGAGAGAGGAAGAGACTGTGATGTCCATTTTTCATGATGAATTAAAAGTGCTGTCAAACTGTAATACCTTCTATTTTTTTATGTCCTAGCCAGGGACCTGCACAGCTGCTGAATTCAAAATGCTTGCAAAGAGCTGTCCCTCCAGGCACATTTTCTAGGAATTTCCAACTCTCTCAGTGAAGAGCTCACCCAGACAGGCTTTTCATTACTTCCAGCTCTCATCCCCATGATCCCACCACCATCCTCCTTCTAGAGAGAGAGGTTGATTGAGAGGTACCAACAGGGACCACTCTGGCACTGAACCTGTGAGGTGGAGTCATGTAGGGGTGGGGAGGAAGGAAGGAAGGAAGGAAGGAAGGAAGGAAGGAAGGAAGGAAGGAAGGAAGGAAGGAAGGAAGGAAGGAAGGAAGGAAGGAAGGAAGGAAGGAAGTGAATTTAACTGAAGAAAGCAGGACCAGGAGGCATCCAGCTCAGGCCGTGTGTTCTGGCTCCTTATGGTTGTCCATTGCTGTGGTCATTAATGTCAGTAGGGTATTTTCAGAGAACCAGTGATAACCAAATTTCAAGTGCAGGTGTCTTTTATGGTTTTACTTTACTATTACACTAACTTTCAACTCATTGGTATGTACTGGAGTAATAGTTATGGCAGATAAACCTATAATTTTTGTGTTGTAGTAGTTACATACATAAAAAGACTGAGTGAATGCAGTTACACTGTCATACAAATGTGCTCTTTCTGTTCCTACAGAGCACTGGTTTACAGCATTAAACTTCTCCATACTAAAATAATAGTTCCTGTTGGAAAGGTGTTATATCTGTTCATCTATGCACACCCTACAACTCACTACTGCTTATGTCAGAGTATGTATTTAGTCAGACCTTGAGTGATTTAGCTTCATTAATAAATAAAATAAATTATTTTCACAAGCAAGGGACTTAGAATTATGTCATTATTCTCAAGAAAATTCTTTAAAAAGAACAATACTGTTTATATTAAAAGAATTCTCATTTCTGTTAGAAACTAATTTTAGGTACTGTTTGATAAGATAAAGACACATTAGATGGATTAACTAGATAAAAAGATTACTTGTGGAGAGCAGGCTGCAGGGGATAAAGTAATTTAGAATGCCTGAATTCATTACATTTTCCTCTTTTTTTCTCAGGAGTTGTATTGTATTTACATAATTTATTTTTATAAGCCATATTACATTAAAAAAATTCACAAACTAGTACTGATGTCTAAGGACTCTTGCTGTCTTATGGAAGTGGGGATTTCTAATTGTGTCTTCCACAAGGTATTTGCAGAACAAGGAATTCAAATTCTTATAATGGATTTCACTTTGTTTGCCCCTACCATACTGTCAACACTGAGGCAGATTTAGATTTGGAGAGTGAAGAATAGCTTACTTTGGATTTATATGAGTAAGGAAAATTGTGCTAACTTTGCATAACTCGTTTTGTCCTAAGTGAAATATTAGCATTGCTTTGGTTTAATAACAGGACGATTGTCATAATATTTTGCATCTTCACAACATTTTTCAGTCAGGTGAAATATTAGCATTGCTTTGGTTTAATAACGGGATGATTGTCATATTTTGCATCTTCACAATATTTTTCAGTCAACTGGTTCAAAGATTTGCTGTTCTTATATAAAATCAATGAAGCCTTTATGTTATTGCCACATTTCTGGTTCTGCTTAATATATTTTTCAGAGAAAGGGACACTTTTATTTACATTTTTTTTTTAAATCACTCAGATGCAATGTCAGCATTAAACAAATAATGGAAATATTTTATGGATGGGAAAACTGTAGGTTAAGATCTATCTTAAAACAATCAGTGTGGAAGGCAGACTATCAGGGAAGAGTTCAAAATTTCATCCCTATCACAGCAAATTAAGCTGATAACTCGTACATTGCCATAAGTGTACATGAAAAACAGTTAATAACAATATATTTTATCCTGAGCTTTAATAGTATGAAGATCACTTCCTCCATATTTCCTCCTCAACCTTCTCTCCTTGACACTAGGTAACCCCTGTTCCTCCTCCACTTCCAGGGTGGAACCCAGAACCAGACCAGTGCTCCAGCTGAGGCCTCATCCATACCCATTAAAGCAAAATAACTGTCTATTGTGTCCTTACACAACACTGATGTTAATACAGCACACAGTGGCAGTTTCCTTTTTTTGCAAAAATTATCCACCCATTCATATTCCTGTGTGATCCAAACCAACCACCAGATGCTTTTCTGCAGTGCTATAGCTTAATTATTCCCTGCTTGTACTTGTGCATTTCATTTTCTTTCCTTTGTCTGTGCTGAATTTCATCTTACTGATTTTACATTGAGTTTTAATCTTATCCGCCAAAGTTCTTGCCACCTCACTCAGCCTTGAGTTATTCACAAACTTTACAAAAGTATGGCCCAATTGATCATTTGAATAATTCATGAAAAATACCAGAAGGGGACCTACATGAAGGCTGGGGAGGGACTTTTTACAAGGGCAGGTAGTGATAGGACAAGGGGCAATGGTTATAAATGGACAAGAGTAGATTTAGATGAGATATGAGGAAGAAATTCTTTCCTGTGAGGGTGGTGAGACACTGGAACAGGTTGCCCAGAGAAGCTGTCGCTGCCCCCTCCCTGGAAGTGTCCAAGGCCAGGTTGGATGAGGCTTTGAGCAACCTGGTCTAGTGGAAGGTGTCCCTGCTGATGCAATGGGGTTGGAACTGGATGAGCTTTAAGATCCCTTCCAACCCAAACCATTCCATGATTCTATGCTTCTATGATAAATAGGGACACAACTCAGGAAATATACTTGCAGGATTTTGTTTACCCTCCCAGTTCAACAGTGCCACTTTCAATGACTGAGTATGGTTGTGCACATGGTCTCTAGCCATTCCCTCTGGACTATATTTCCCTAAGTTGCTACTGAGAATGTCCCATGGAGCCAGAACACCCAAGGCTGGATGGGACAGGCCATATGAGTCCTTGATGAACTTGCTGCACAGGTTGGAACAAGTGCATCAAACACTGGCAGGGAGTCCAGCATGTAAACCCACATGACCCATTGTGAAACCAAAACACAAAGCTATTCTAGCTACTAAAAAGAAATAGCTCTGTCTCAGCTAAAAACCAGGGCAGGTTCACAGGCAGCATTGGCTTGTTCGAGATGCTGGGATACAGTAGAGAGCAGGCATGGAGAACAAGTCTCCACTGTTCCCACTCTCTCTTGTTATTACTGATTTTAGAGGACAGGTAAAATGTAGACTCAAGACCTGTTTTGTGCCACTTGAGACTGTACCCTGAAAATAAAATGCTTGAGGGAGTTTATACTTACATCAGAGGCTCCCACGATTTAGGCTTAATGAAGATAGCGATGGGATAGAGTTGTGCAACTTGTAGTCTTTTGATGGCATTTCCTGACACATCGAGTATGCAGTGCTTGCCCTGTTGGAAACAGATGAGGATGTGTTTATTTTTGCAGAGTTTGCTACAGATCAACCAAAAGACAGGAAATAATTCTGCGATGCAGTGCCCTGGAACTGGCCATTACCAGCACAGCAGGGAAGGGGGACCCAGGGCATGTGCTCCACTCCTCTATGCTCTTTCCTTTGCCTTGGTGCTAATATTAAAAATACACTGGAGATATAAGAACAAACTTGTTTTTAATTTTTACTGGGATGAGCTTTGAGAGGGGGAGGGGGAGATTTTTTTCAGAGATGAGGAAAATCAGTTCATAAAAGTAATAGGATGTCTACGTTCTTACTGATCAATTCAGTTCTTGTCTGTGTCAAAGACTCCCTGTGTCACCTGAGGGAAGTAATTTAATCTTTCTGTGCTTTGTTCTTTCACCTCTGTGAAAGTGAGATAAGTTTATTTACCTCTCTTACAGAGGGAAGAGGGAAGGCTGTTTTGGGGCGTACTTGAGGCACTGTGTTAGATCCCTGAATTGATGCCACTACCTCCAGGTACAGAAAATGCCAAGGAAGTTGTCATTCAAAGTCAGAAACTCCACTTGTGGAATCATTATAAAACCTATAAATATTAGGATGCCTTTTTGCAGATATTTTGTATTTTTGGCTGAAGAATCATGTCTGAGATACAACATGTAAAGAAACCAGATCATGTTGTATGAGCAATAAAACTAGCATCAACCTACCCTTTCTGCCACGAATCTCACAGACTGGACACTAGTTCCATATAAATTATCATTGTACTGCCCAGCTTCTATAAATTTGTGCTCTTGGATATCTTTTTCCATTTGTTCTCTTGAAATGACAAAATGATAATCTCTCCCATCCACTTCATAATCACGCTTTGGCCGTGTGGTATCTGCATGAAACAAAAGACAGAAGATCAAGAAGTCTTTAAAAACATTTTGTGCAAAACCTGCAGCAATTAAAGTTTGCTCAGTGGATGCCTGCTCTAAGTGGAAGAGCTCTACATCTGGGAGCAGATCTTTGGCTGCTACTTAGTGCTTTCAAAGGAGTTACAACAATAAAACTGCTTTTTATAGACATACCTTCTGATGTTTACATCCAATCAATACTTACAAGCTAACATAAAATTAGGATTTACCAGAATTCCACTTTTTTTCAGCAGGGTCACACACAAACCTCAAATTAAAAAAACATTCCAGATTGTAAATCTAATTCTATTACAGTGATAAAATGAATCACAATCTCATCAATTTAATTTAGCCTTAATTATAAGCCTGGTTCTGATCTCATCCTTAGCAGTTTTCAGCTGGTGTATTTGCAGAGACAACAGTTTAAAGTGAAGTAAGACTGCAATAAGGGCCTGAAATAAACACTCAGAGAGTTCTAATGATCCAAGATATAAACACTCTGCTTAATTCAGGGTCCAATATTGCTTTCAGATTAGACAGTCTAGATCTCACATGAATCACAGATTACTCTGTATTTTTATTAGTGGATGCTGTGTAATCGAAACCTTTTACATTTTATCAGTATTTAAAACTTTTATCTTATTTCAGAAACCACAGATTAATTGTTTAAAAAATTGCTACAGCTTTTGAGAAAATTATTTTGAGAAATTCTTTCCAGACTTTCACAATCTTTTTTTGCTTGTTCCTTTCCCCTTTTTTGTCCAGTGGAAAAATAGATTTTGAGCAACTTGACTACATACAGTTCAAGGATGCTGTTTTCACAGCAATTTACTTAATGTGTGGCACCGAGGGATACAACTCACTCAGCGACAGAACAAGGAGTAAAATCATACTCACGTGGTACACATGACCCAAACTTATCAGGGAATTCAGATATCAAATCATCGTTGATCCGATCTTTCATAGGACCCAGAATAATAACCGGCCTGGTGTAATTAACTGAACAACAAAAAGAAATGCACATTTTGATGATCTTACTGGCAATAACAGTAAATCATTCCAAAGATGAGTTAACCAGAGTTGTTGCTTTTATATATGAATTGAAAACTTAAGTGCATATTTTATTGATGAATAATTTATTTATTGACATGGATAAGGAAAATGGAATGAATATCACTCATTTTGCAGAGCTCAGAGCTCTGTGATGGTGCATACACACAACTATGTGGAAGTATATAAATTTGCTATTGCTCAACAAGGCCATTCCTAAATACTTGTAGGTGGACTCTTTCCTGAGGCACGGAAAGGAGATTGTAGGATTTTTTTTCTCCTCAGTTATATGAATGCATCCCCCATTAAATCAGGTGGGTGCACTCCTGTTTTTAGTTGCCTTCCCATACGTTCATCTATCTTGGTTAGGGGCATGTATCACATGAGAAGGAAAATAATAAAGGCTTCCCATATGATTTACTGTTTATTGCAGTAAATCTAGAAAATCTGCATCAATATTTGGTAGGCTGATTAATGTACTTATTGATAAAGGCCATGAGAGCATGCTGGAGAGAGCCCTGAGAACGTTATGAAGTTGGGGGCTAGCAAGGGAGACCCTTACATCATTTCTTTTGTAAGCAATAGACCAAATGGCCAAGAAAAAGGAGCCACAGAGAATCTGGGGCTGGCCCAGCAAGGCTTACTGCTCTGCTAGCCCCTACAATATGAAATGAAAAACATAATGAATAGTGACAGGAAAGCAGATGAAACTTACTTTCCTGTCTGGTGACAGGTTCATAAGAAAGTATGCAGTCTTCTTGGCCTCCTGATGAGAGAAGAAAGAGAAGAGATTGAAGCTGGCAAGCAACATGTCAAGTACTAAAGCCGGATAAAATGCTTCACATAGAGACAGACTGGGTTCAACACTTCTCTCTGGTAACGCTCTCACCTGAACCATTCCAAAGTCCCTCAAAACTTTAAAGTGTAGAGATAACTTTTTTTCTTCCCCTCCCTCCCCTGCCACATGTTTCAATTCTCTTTGCCAAAATTGTGCTTTTTCAATGATGGGCAATAAACTTTCATTTATTGTTTTGATAGCAAGGCTGTTTGCAAGGATAGTACAAAAATTCAAGATGTAATTCTTTTGCTTGTCCGATTGTTAAGGCCCTAACATGCTGCTGCAGGGCAAATCCACAGGCTACCTAAACTGAACAGTTTTTATCCCCAGAAAATATATATTTTGGTTGATTGTCCTTCTGTGCATAAACCTCTAGTTTATTCACAGCCTGACATCTAGCTATGAGCTATTTTTTGACCCTTATCCTTTCCCTGAACACAAATCTCACAACGTCATATTTTACCCACTTATTCTCCTGCCAGTCCTGGCAGGACAGTGCTGTTTCCCTATGGTGACATTTAAAAGCAGAGAAATTTGCCATGAAAAACAAGTGGCACCCTGTGGACCATGACTTGGGTGCAGGGGTACAGCCCCAATGCATCACTGTCGTCTTCTCTGTGAGAGTGCAGGAGTAGAGAGGGGAGGATTCTTCAACCTACTGCATGAATAATTCCTGGACATTTGTTTTTCTAGGTCACTGTCACATACTTTGTACCACATAAGGGCTATGGCAGGTTCTAAATATGATTTAGGCTTAGCAAAGTTTAAAATTATGATTTTATTTTTACTCAGTTCAGGGCTTGTCTCTGAGAAGATCCACAGATGGGATTTTGCAACTAATTTAGATACTACAGAAGGAAGAGTGTCATCAGGAGTACCAGGGCTTTATAAAATAGACAGGGTTGCCTTCATTTCATCTGCTTGCGTGCACCTGAGTCTGTGTTACATTATTCTGGTGGGTTCTTGCCAAACCAAAGTGTGCATATGCAGGGCAGGAGTGCTGCCTGGCACCTGATGGGCAGTATAGGTAGGATTTAGAGGGTGCTACACCTCACCCTGAAGTAGTCTGGCTGCTCTCTGATTCACTGTTGAGGCTCCATTAACTACATTAACAGGATTTGTATTGGATGCAATGCCCAGCTCCCAAATAGGTACAAAACTTTTTGTAGTTTAGTCTTAAGTTGACTCCCACTCCATGAATCTAATATGTTGATAGATATTTTTTGTGATTTATTATCTAGACAGCTGTGAGAAATGTGTAAGAAAGCTTTTCAAGTAAAAATAATGTTGTAATTAAGGACAATGAGAGAAAAAGCAAATTTAAAAATGTACTGATATGTTAGAAAAAAAGGAGAAGAGACAGGGTTAACTCCAACCTAGCAATGGTGCCGAAGCAGCAAAGGAGAAAAATTGTAATAAAAGGAAGAGATTAGACAGCTCTTGAAGACAAGGCAACACAATGTAGGAAGAGTGTGGATAATTAATTTTCTTCTCTATTTGCAAAAGTTTGATACTGTCATCACTTGCTTAACTTTGGCTTTTTGCAAAGTTAACAACCTAGAATTATGGTTACACTAGGTTTCTTGCATCAGATGTATTATTTTCCCTTAAGTTTCTCTGGAATTTTGGAGGTCATATAAAACTCAGGATGTCCCATTCCCCTGCAGATGAAATAATTCACTCTCCAGGCTGGATGAGCACGCTCCTGCACTACCTGTCCTCCCCCAGAGCCAGGACAATCACAGAATCACAGAATCGTAGGGGTTGGAAGGGACCTCAGGAGATCATCTTGTCCAACCCCCCAATGCTTTCCAGCAGCCCAAAAAAGTCAGTCTTGGGGTGGCTGATAAAGCCATCACATACCAAATATGTGCTGGGGAGCCTGTTTGTATGAATATAATCTTAAACTGGAAAATACTTGTTTCAATGGCATACAGGTCTGCAGAAGGGGATTCATTTCAGCTGATTTCAGAAACCTGTATCGTGAGCGCTTATGTCTAAGCCACTCCCTGGGGACCCTTTGGAGTCAATAGGTGCCTACAAATAGGCAAGGGCTTGCTCTAAGACATGAGTCATCTGACCTATTTTAGATGTCTACTTCAGGATGAGAGAAAAAGTCAGAAGGGTGTGTTTGTCACTATTGTCCCCAAACGGCATTTAAACAGCAAGGTCAATGCAGATATCTGCATTTAAACAGTAGGATCCCACGGGAGTGACAGTGACAAGAGCAACTGAAGGAAAATAACCAATAACTCTGTCATTATTGCTTAAAAATTTCTCTGTGGGCTAATATTTGGCTTTGGCAGAGAATTACAAGCAGCACAAATAAACCAGCACAGATTTTACCTTCTGTTTTGCCCAGGCTCTGGCAGACATGTCCACATGCTAAAGCTGTCATTACATCCACGATATCAGTAGGGTATGGGCTATGGAGACAAACAAGCCTGTTGTTTCACAGAAGTCTTGTGAAACTGTGGCCAGACTGAAGGCAAAGAAAAATTTCCAGTTCCCTCAAGTTGTACTGAAACTTAAGCAATTGGGAAGGGTTGGAGCAAGGTGAAACTTTGAGGTTGACTGCGATGCACAGAGTCTTAAAGACAGACACCGCTTGAGCGAAGGCTCTTCAGTGCTGAGTTTCAGACTCAACAGGGAGTGCGAGCGTGGGGGTAAGCTGCACCATGTCCTCTACTTTACCTTTTTGGAAAAAGGACTCAGGAAGCTCAATTTTCTATTTGAATAAGATCCAGATGGTATTCTTTAATGATCCCTACTCAGTCAGTACTGCACAGTTTTGAAGTAGTCCATAAAGTATTAAGTACATAACGAAGAGCTCTAGATTCAATCAATAATCAGATTGCTATAACCTTGCGATGGCTTTGAGGTGCAGGACACAGTGTGAACTTCAACAGGACATGGGCTCTTATTTATCATTTGACTAAGCCTCATTTACCACCCACATTATTGGCTTAATTAGAAGAGGTGAACTATATTGATCTGGAAAATCTTTGTGAAATTTAACAGACAAAACAAAAAGAGAAGAAAGAAAAAGCCCTTTCTGTAGGATTTTGGTATGATCCTTTGTTTTTCAGTAAAATTCCATCAAGCCAAAAAGAGAAGGAAAGAAAAAAAATAAGAGAAGAAAGAAAAAGGAAGCTTTCCTAAAGGTAACATACTTGTAAGTAAAATTATTGGAAAGCTTTCACTTTCCCAGAATCATTATGGCTCTGATTCCCTTTGTTCTTGGTTTGCCTGTTGGTGATTTCTCATGCTTGGGAAGAGATGAACAACCTGGAGTTTGTTATAAGCCTCTAAAAACTGGGCAAAGAGGTCCTGGGTGGTCAGATTGGTTTCATAAGGGCTACAATTTTCATCTTTTCAAAGGATCTTATAGTGTTTCAGAAGGGTAGTCCTAAAACGGATGTAAAGTGTTGCCTCTGTTTTCCCTTTCTGATTAGATGGCAGAGAGTCTGTGAAAGACTCAAAACTAGTTTCAGTGGAGACCTGGCAGATATCAGGAATTTTCATGTAACTCATAAAAAGGCTTTATTTTCTATTGTCTTGCCAGACCATTCAGAGCTTCCACGGTGCTGGTGTAACTACACCCAGCATGTGAGTAACAGGGCAGGAGAGCTACCATGGTGTAACCAAACATCTACCCACATCAAGCACCTTGTGCAGTGGGAATTAATGGATTTTGGCGTCCTATTAATGGCTGTGAATGAAAAAATTTGTAAAAGGATCTAAGGCACTGAATAATAAAAAGGTAGTACTTAAGAAGACAGCTAAAAATTATTTAGGATTTTAGAAAACTCAAAGAGAAATTTTGGGTTCATAAAAATTTCTGGACTAATGGTGGTGGTTACCATCAATAGACATGTGAAATACATGTAGATGAGCCAAATTGATTTTATTTTTGAGTTCTTGCCTGAATTTTGTTGCTCATCTAAAACAAAGGATGGCTTATTTTTCTGTCACCATCCACTTAAGTTTTGGGCTAATATGTGGATTACCGGAGTTGTGCTTGGATAAATTTTTGTTTCATCTGCACAGACGACACTGGACAACCAATATCCTAGCCTCTGTTTGGCTCAAAATCCCTTTCTTGGACCTCTTTTTATGCAAGTAAACACAAAATTTTTGGAAATATATTGATAGCTGTGAAAGATTGGCAATCCAATACACAAAAAATCATCAGTAGTCTGAGAATGAACTTGTGACTGAAAAGTGGTCTATCAGCACTATATATTTAAGATCAATATAGCTTGTGAGGGCATAAAATGAGACTTCAATACTTGTGCCAATTTGAGTGTGCCTGAATAATACAGTAATCCTTCGGGAATGTAAGAGCTAATGTGAGTGTCCTAATTAATCAGTGGCCTAACACAATAATCATGACTCCTTTAACCTTGTTCTGAATCTTCAAATCTCATTACAAGAGTGACTTACTGACTTGCTGACAGAGGAAAAAAATTTTGTTTCTAACATTTTTTCTTTTTTTTTTTTTTAAAAAACTTTTAGTCATGTATTGACTGTGTAGGTAATTGATGCAATCACAACCAGTTATGCAATTAGGCTAAATAGATGTAGCAATGTGTGTGTAATTTTGATGACAGCTGTAAAAACCTTTACTGAACTACGTGTAAGAGTGTTATAACACATATGTAGTAGAGAGACTTGAAATTCAAGGCCATTATGAAAATCATGTCTCACAAAATAAAAACTGATGAGTCTATGGTAAAAAAATATGTTCTTACAAACTTGGTTTGAAAAAGAAATCAGAACAATTTAAGCTACAGAGCTCAAAATAAACTTTCAATCATGGTTTGATTAGCTGGTTCAGGGATAAGAACAACTTTCTGCTAGACCAGGACTTTATAGACCACTCTGCAAACTTAGTTTTACTGCTGAGAACAGGTGCAAATCAACTAACATAGTTACAGGCTTCACATTAGTAGGGGTCAGTGTGGTGCAGCAGCAGCTGTGTGGCAGCTCAGCCTCTTTTAGATCAGGTCATCATTTGTCCTTGTCTTAAAAATACTTTTAATTTTTTTTATTTTTTTTTTTTTTTTATCAAGGGCCAGATTCTGCTGTCAAATGTGTTTGTGATTCCCCCTAAAGTTAATGGAGCTGAAGATTATCTGTTGGGATAAAGAAAATTCCAGTGTTGGCTCCAGCTCTTCTGCTCATTACAAACCCAGTGTTGACAGCACTAGCAGAGGAAATGAGGTTTACTATCTGCAACAGCCTGGTTGCTAAGAAGTGGTTAAAGGAGTTTCTCTTCAGATCACATAGAAGGACGTTCAATTACATTATTATTTTGAAATAAAAAATATCTGACTTCTGTCCAGAAGTTGATTTTTTAAACCCCAAGCCCAAGGCATGAACAATACTTTAGCCAAATACTCAAATTTTTGAGCAATATATTTCTAAATAAATGTGAATGCATCAGAACATCACCTAGAAAAAGCCCAGTCAATTTGTAAATCCTCTTTTAATCACTGTCCAGGGCACAGCCTGGACTGCACTTAGAAGCCTTCAACATCACTTTGTGTAGTTGTACCCCTGGTTTGGAATGGCTCTAGGTATGATCAAGTAGTACAGGTTTCGACACTAGCTACTTTTCACTAAATGCTCATCATGAGAAGCAAAAGTTAGAGAAACATGTTAAAACAATTGCCAGAGAGCCACTCAAAAAAAATGCAGGATGCCTCACTCTGGCCTGTTTTCACAGGGACAAATATGAATGTCTGCAGAAGAACACATGGCACTTGCCAGTCATTTCTTACCTACACAATTTTCTTTGTGCTGGCCAAGGTGTGAATTGCTGATTTCATAGAATCATAGAAGCATAGAAATATTTAAGTTGGAAAAGGCCCTTAAGATCATTGAGTCCAACCATAAACCTAACACTGCCAAGTCCACCACTAAATCATGTCCCTAAGCATCACATCTGCACGTGTTCTAAAAACTTCCAGGGATGGTGGCTTCCCTGTTCCAGTGCTTGGCAACCCTTCTAGGAAAGAAATTCTTCCTCACATCCAATCTCAACTGCCCTGGGCACAACTTGAGGCCATTTCCTCTTTTCCTGTCACTTGTTCCTTGGTTGAACAGACCCACCCCCACCTCTCTACACTCTCCTTTCAGGGAGTTGGAGAGAACGAGAAGGTCTCCCCTCAGCCTCCTTTTCTCCAGGCTCAACAGCCCCAGTTCCCTCAGCTGGGAACTCATCACACTTGTGCTCCAGACCCTTCCCCAGCTCCATTGCCCTTCTGTGGACATGCTCCAGCAACTCCATGTCCTTCTTGGAGTGAGGGGCCCAAAACTGAACCCAGCACTCAAGGTGCAGCCTCACCAGTGCCCAGTACAGGGGGCATGATCACTCCCCTGGCCCTGCTGGACACACTGTTTCTGATCCAGGCCAGGATGCCATTGGCCTTCTTGGCCACCTGGGCACACTGCTGGCTCATATTCAGCTGTCTGTCAATCAACACTCCCAGGTCCTTTTTCTGCTGGGCAGCTTTGCAGCCACTCTGCCCCAGTTTCCCACAATTCAGAAAGCAGTGGGGCAGGCACTGCTCATTTGCTGGGAAAAAAGGGGCACTGGAACAGGGTCACAACCTCATTCAAAACCTTTGAGATCTCCAGCAGTTTTCTCTTTGCTCCTCATGAATTTTCAGTGTCACTTTTTTTTTTTCTTTCTCTTAGTATGCCCCATTTCACCAGTGCACAGACCGAGGGCTAGATGAATTTGCAAGTCAACATACATGGTGTCCTCGTAAAATGGCTTGTACTGCCTCACCTTGAACACACAAATTCTGCTCAAAGTGTAACTAGATCACTCTGAAGAACAGCTTTGCAACATAAATGACTCCAAATGAAGTTAAGACAAACTTGGTTCTCTGGCAGTGACTGATGTTGGGCCCCTTTTCCAGCTACCCATATGCAAACAAGAAAAGTGGAAATAATCAGAGTGGTTTGGGTTGGAAGGGATCTTAAAGCTCATCCAGTTCCAACCCCCCTGCCATCAGCAGGGACACCTTCCACTAGACCAGGTTGCTCAAAGCCTCATCCAACCTGGCCTTCCCTCCCGGGGGGGACCATCCACAACTTCTCTGGGCAGCCTGTTCCAGTGTCTCACCACCCTCACAGGAAATAATTTCTTCCTAATATCTCATCTAAATCTACTCTCTTCCAGTTTAAAGCTATTTCCCCTTGTCCTGTCACTACCTGCCTGTGTAAAATGCCCCTCCCCAGCCTTCCTGTAGCCCCTTCAGGTATTGGAAGGCCACTAGAAGGTCTCCCTGGAGCCTTTTCCAAGGCTGAACAGCCCCAACTCTCTCAGCCTGTCCTCATAAGGAGAGGTGCTCCAGCCCTCGGATCATCCTCATGGCCTCCTCTGGACTTGCTCCCATAGGTCCATGTCTTTCTTGCGTTGGTGGCCCCAGAACTGGAGGCAGCACTGCAGGTGGGGTCTCACGAGAGAGGAGTAGAGGGGCAGAATCACCTCCCTCGACCTGCTGCCCACGCTGCTCTGGGTGCAGCCCAGGATACGGTTGGCCTTTTGGGCTGGGAGCACACTGCCGGCTCATGCTGAGCTTCTCGTCCACCAGCTCCCCCAAGTCCTTCTCCTCAGGGCTGCTCCTAATCCATTCCCTGCCCAGCCTGTATTTGTATATATAATGACTGCATGATGTCTTACTCTACCAGGAATAAGCTAGGTACCCCACTAGCAAACCACTCTAGAAGGAGAGTGCCTGCCATGGGTAGTTGTTACCCCAAAACTATGTTTCCTTCCAAGTATCTATGTCCCTGCTGACTTCCCCAAACCATTTCTATCTCATTTCTTGCACCTCAAAACACACACTTAGTTTCAAGCTATTGCACAGCCAATGAGGAACTGGGTACCTGGCCTGTCTTATGATGAAATTTGGGAACTAGCTTTTGTGGACCTGCCCCAAATATTTAGCTGAAACTGAGCACCCCTGTTAAGTGTTTTGTTTGAGATATCAGGCATGGGATGTGTTCAGTCACCAGCCTAGATTCTCCTCTGGGCTTTTACCCTGAGCTCACCCTGAAATAAACACACCTGGAGGAGATTTGACTCATGCGAACTTTTGAAAATTTAACTGATTGACTCATTCTTGATTGTAAAGTCAGTCTGGGGAAAGAGCATCTTATATTTCAAACATAAAATCCTCCTCAATAGAAGACACTTTAAAAATAAAGCAGTTCAGCATTGGATCTTGGCAGTTTAAGAGCACCTACTGTTTTCTTGTGACTCTGGCAATTGTTTTCCAAAGGAACCTTTGCAATACAAGAGAATACAAACTAATTTACCATTTCTGAATTGCATAAGATTAGCTATTTTACTGAAATGAACCAGTACTTATTAACAGAGCTCAACTGCTATGCACTATATCAAGACTAGTAAACATGAGGTATGATACCAATGATTACCTGAATGTATGTGGGTGCTTAGCACAAGTGCTGAGTGACTGGTGGAAAACTTGATTTGCTAAGCAAATGGCTTGAAAAAAATTAAACAACTGGGTGATTTAGTAAGCAATCTATCATTTTAATTACCTTTTATTACATTTATGGTAATATATTTAATGCCTTATTTTTAGCTTTTCAACACTTCCAGAAAAATAGTTATATTGGTTAAATCGTTGGGTATTACTAATAATTACCCAGAATGTACAATCTGCCTCTTGCCTATATGACCACATGGAGTCTGTATTTCCAACCAAATCAGGTTGCAGGGTTGGGAACTCCACTTATAGGGAATCAGTGACATTCAGTGGCAGTGCCTAAGGGGTGAAGGTCTATCTTACCTTTTTTTGATGACTTCAACATGCATTAGGAAACCTGTTCTGCCAAAATTAAGGGCTTAACAAAATTTTTATGACTATTTCTTAGCACTTCATACAGGCATGCAGAAATGCAAGTAAATATTGTGACCTTGTAAAGAGGATGCCTTTTGCAGATTTGGCTTACAACTATGGAGTAATTTTACTCTTAAAAGATCACCAAGAAACTGCCCCCACCCTGCTAAAATAAAGTTCTTGTCACTAAACCAAATAATCCTGACTTTCCCAGGCTACCCAAAGCCAGGTTTGGTTTTATGTCCCAGAATACATCCCAAATAACAACCTTCCCTTCTCTTACAAAGGTTGCCAGTTTTCTTTTATAGCTTTGCACTCAAGATGTGGTCGTAAATTTGTATTCCAAGCCATTTACTCCAACCGCCTTTAAAACAAAAAGGGTAGCAAGGAGAGAAACAAAATAAAAGAAACAAATAGAACAAGCAATGCAAAGTAAAAGGACTCTAATGAAAGCAGTAACTTACTGTAGCTACTTTCACTATCGCTGGCATTAGAAGAGACATGTTCTGCAAGAACAGTACAGCAAATTAAAGAACATAAACAAGCACCACAGAGCTGCAGAAACTTAAAAGAACTGCCACAGTCATGCAAAGGTAGTTGTGCAGAGAGGAAATAAAATCTGCAATGACATCACCGGAAATCTCGCAGGTAATTTACACAGGTAAAATGAAAGCTTTCTCTCTCATGGCATTTCAGAAAGAATGTGTGTATTGGCTAGTGATATGTGTCACGGCAAAGCCATGTCTTTTTTTGATGAGACAGTTTGTCATATTTCAGATAACTTAATTTCAAAGTGTATTATGGTCCACTTGCATCTCACTGGATGTCTTGAGTAATTTAATGAAATCTGAGTGTCTTCTCATATTATTCTGCATTATCAGTAACATGCATTACTAATGCATTGGAACTATTACTGCTAGACTTCTAACCTGTGTCCATCGTTAATCACTGTGCACTATCCCAAAGGGTTAACAATTTAGCATGAAAATGGTTTTGATATAAAACATTGTAACTGTATCTATTTTACCCTATCCAAAAAAAGAAGACAAAGCCAATGACAAAACTAAGGGAAAAAAAAAAAAAAGGAAGAAATATATTTGCAGATATTGTCTAGCCTCAGGATTTGAGCTGAAGTATAAAAATCTTTTCTAGACCAGTCTGGATGGGTGAATAGGGATATAATAACTATCATGATGGGTCATACTTGTGGTTTGGCAAGTCTTATGTCTTGTTTCTATTAGCATGTTATTTAAAGGAAGGTGCAACCCTTATTATGTGAAGTTGCTGTTCACAAACTGTAGTCAGCAAACTGTTTATGGTCAGGCAGACCATTCTAAATGGTCTCCAGGAGGTCTGCAGAACCACATTCAACAGTGGTTTTAATAGTATGTCTGTTAGAAATGCTTATTACTTTGTACCTGAAAAATGATTTGACAGTTGACACTTTTCAGCTGGTCTAGGACATTTAGAAGCCAATGGTATAATGGCTATACAGTGGGGAACCATTCTAGGTTAAGGAGGGCACCGTGGTTAAATGGACAATGGGTACAAATAAGTCACCTCTTGACAAACACCAGGAACCAAAATTGGTCCAATATTTGTCATTAGACTGTGGGAACAGTGCCAAGACCACCTCTTCTCTGCAGGGTGCTGCTTTCCCCATGTACCAATGTAATGGCTTAGGCTTCATAGAGTGGGACTGATGGGGTTACTGGAGCAGCAGAAATGAGAGGGAATGTTATCTGATAAAATAGTAGTGGAAAACTTTGATATTGGGCTTAGTAAGAAGCTTAAAAAATTAAACTTACATTTTGAAGAAAAGAGTATATTGAGTTTTGGATATTTCATAGCAAGTTAACAAGGGTTCTCTCAAACTAATATGCTACACAGGACCCTGAAGAAATTTATTAAACAAAACCAGATATCCTTCATAGTAAGAAATATCATTAAAAAGCACATCTGAGTTGAATATTAGTGAAATTTGGATGGGTGAGAACATCTAGAGGTGGGTCAATAATTGAAAGTTAGATGCAGAGAAACTAAAGTCTTTTTAATACCTTTGTGCTACTTTTCCCTTAGCAATTTTCAGAATTCAGTTATCTTCTTTCAAATGTTTGAATGTTATGGAGATTTGTCTTTGTAAGGACACAGATATTCAGAAGGGTTATCAGATCAGAAGTATTCTACTTCTTTGTAGCAGAGAAGGATCTGCATTTGTTGCCAATGAGCTGCTATGACAAAGTAGCAGAATGGTTAAAATTCAGGTGGCAGTGACATTTGCTGTCTATCACTGACAAAATTTGTCTTGCAGAACTGTTCTTCTGCATACAAGAGATGAAGCTTTCATCTTTAAATTGCGAGCTACTGTATAACTTAAAGTGAAACCACTAAAATGACCCTTCAACAAATCAGTC